AAAAGGCAGAACAGAAAGACTATTTAAAGACAGACACACAGGAAGTAGCTCTCTTTCAGGAAGCTAGGAGCACTGCAGGAGGTAAGATTTTAGCTCTGAGCTCTGACCTCTCAGCTTTCTCTTTTACATTGGTTCTGTGTTTTTTATTTTAATAAGATGGTTGGTTACATCTACACCTGTGTCTGTTTATTAGCAAATTGAGTCCATTGACACTAAGGGATATTAATGACCATTGTTTGTTACTTTTTGTTATTTTTTGTTTTTGTTTTCATGTTGATGTTAGTATGTGTGTGTTTTTCATCTTTGGGATTTGCTGGTGTGAGAATATCTATTGCCTGTGTTTTTGTGGGTGCAGCTAAAGTCCTTGGATTGTGGTTTTCCTTCTAGTACTTTCTGTAGTGCTGAGTTTCTGGATAGGTATTATTTAAATCTGGTTTTGTTATGGAATATCTTGTTTTCTCCATCTAGGGTGATTGAAAGTTTTGCTGGGTATAATAGTCTGGGTTGGCAGCCATGGTTTCTTAGTGTCTGTATAACATCTGTCCAGGACTTTCTGGCTTTCAGGGTCTCCATTGTGAAGTCAGGTGTTATTCTGATGGGTCTGCTTTTGTATGTTACTTGGCCTTTTCCTTTGCAGCTCTTAATATTCTTTCTTTATTGTGTATGCTTAGTGTTTTGGTTATTATGTGGCAAGGAGTTTTTTTTTTTTTTTTGGAGTACATTCTATTTGGTGTTCTGTAAGCTTCTTCTATCTTCATAGGCATTTCCTTCTTTAGGTTGGGAAAATTTTCTTCTATGATTTTGTTGAATATATTTTCTGTGCCTTTGAGCTGATATTCTTCTTCTTCTATCTCCATTATTCTTAGGTTTGGTGTTTTCATGGTTTCCCAAATTTTTCAGACATTTTGTGTTATGGTTTTCTTGGCTTTAATGTTTTCTTTGACTGATGAATATATATATTTTTCTATCATATCTTCAACATCAGAGATTCTTTCTTCCATCTCCTGCATTCTTTTGGTGATTTTTGCATCTGTAGTTCCTGTTCATTTATCCAGATTTTCCATTTCTGTAATTCCCTCAGTTTGTGTTTTCTTTATCCCTTCTATTTCAATTTTCAAGTCTTAAACTGTTTCCTTCCTCTGTTTGATTGTTTTTTTCTTGGCTCTCTTTAAGGGCTTTATTAATTTCTTCCAGTTTTTTGTTTGTCTTTTCCTTGATTTCTTTAAGGGTATTTTTTATTTCATCTCTAAGGGCCTCTATAATCTTCATAAAGTTATGTTTAAGGTTGTTTTCTTTTGCTTCTGCATTGGGCTGTTCAGGTTTTGCTGTCGTAGAACTGCTAGGTTCTGGTGGTGCCATATTGTTCTTTATGTTGTTTGGTGTGTTCTTGCACTGGGGTCTACCCACCAGCAGGTGGTGTCTGTGCCTCTGGGTCGCTCTTCCTCCAATTGGTGCAGATAATGCCTCTGTTTCCAAGTGAGGTTCTTTGTCCAATCTTTGCAAGTTGTGTCTGTGCCTGGGGTCAGGTGGAAGCTACTCTTCTTACCATTGGTGCAGGCAGTGTCTATGTCTCTGGGAGCTGCTCTTGGTCCAATTGGTGCAAGTCTTGTCTGTGTCTCTAGGAGCCAATGATGCTGTGGGGGATGGTTGGGGTTGAGGGGCAGAGTGGGACCTGTAGATTGCAGTGGAGAGGTCTGCCTACAAGTCCCTTGACTTCTGGCCAGCTAATAAGGTTGCAATAGGAGTGGGGCATAGAGGGGCTGTCCAGGTGGGAGACTCATCACTTACCACATTATGCAATCAATGCAGGAGGTGTTTGTGTCTCCAGGGACCACTGATTCCATGGGGGATGGTTGAGTTTGGGGGGCTCAAGTAGGACTTGTAGATTACAGGGTTAAATGGGGGTTGGTTATGGAGAGAACTACCTGTAGTTCTCTTGTCTGCTGGCTGGCATGGGGCTGTGATAGGTGGGGGAGGGTCCTAGGGGGGCTGTCCAGGTGGAAGACCAGTCACTTACCACTGCATGCAATTGATGCAGGCCTATTTGAGTTTTGAAACTTTTCTTATGGCATAAATATTATCTCAAAAACTCTAAGACTATATGTATACACAGATTTTCTTTTGGGATAGTAGCAGTCATACAGAGTACTAACTAATTCTAGAAATAAGCTTCATCTACTTCCTGTACATGTTTTCAAGTTTGAGTCTGAAACAGGTAACTAGAAACTAAGTTTATGTTTCCCAGATGTACTTAATAGATTTTGGTCCTTTAACTTTTTGGAAATATGAATATGGCATTTAAAATGTCTCCAAGAAGGTAATGGGGTCCTTCAATGATACATTCATCTGGATTGTGGTTATGCCACTGAGTTGACAAACACCACCCAAAGATCAGCTTTGAACTGCTAACTCCTCAGGAAAACTGCAAAGTGGCTATCTAAGATGGTTCAGTCTCACAGACTACTCCAGCAAGGACTTCAGTCAAGCCCTGTACTTTCCCATCACACAGAGACTAGCCAACAAATGATAAAGCTATCTTTCTGAGGACTTTACCATTATCCCAATTTTCTCAGGGTTCTCTAAAGATGCTCTCATTCACAGACAACAGGAATAAGTTTTAAGAACATGAAACCCATATTCCTGGGAGGTGGGGTGGATGATTTTTTTGTCATTTGATGGTTTATGGATATTTGTTGTCATTTAGGGGGTTGGTTGCAAGTTGATATTGATCATGGTTAGGGATAAGCAAGAGGTTAGATGTAGGGATCTTCTTTTATTTCCTCTATCCTTCTTTCTTTTCTATCTAGTGTTGAAAAAAAGGGTGGGGGGATGGTGGATGAAAAGAAAGAAAAGGGAGGATATAGAAATGAGATGATAAAAGGATAGATTATTGAATCCTGAAAAGGAACTACTAGTCTCAAATTTTTTACATTGGTATAGATTTTTATATATTGATACAAATTTAAGGTTATTTTTGTTACAACATACTGTATATATGTTTCTACTCTTGTTTAAGGTATTACACCTATACAGCTCATTAAAAAATATAAAGTTCTAGTTCTTGAAAGCTACTATTACAAAGTATTTAGGAAAATTAAGAAATGCTGTAGGTAAAAGGGGCTAAAGAAACCCACCATGACCCTGGAGCCCAGAACTAGGGAAAGATGGCTCAGATCAGGGTAGAGAGAAACACAGTTTGGCTCAGTCCGATCAGAGCCATCTCTGCCCCTGGCTAACTGACTTGTGAAGCCAATCAGCCACAGAGCAGGATAGTAGAACCTTGGGCCCAGGGTTGACTCCACCCCCAAGACTTCCTGTGTAAACCACCCTGCCTAGTCAGAAAAAAGTCTATTCTCGCCACACTGGTAGAGGCAGCCACTCTCCTGGATTCTTCCTTCCCAAATAAATCTCTTTCTCAAAAGAGTTTTGGGTGTGAAGATCTTCATTCACTGGTAGGGAAGATTCTTGCTGAGATGTCCCATATCCCCCCTTCCCCCATGGACAAAACAAGGAAGAGCTGAAAGAGCAGAGCAAGGAGGAGCTCAACAGAAGATCTTTGCTGAGACATCCTTCAGTGGAACAGCAAGCTAATAAGTAACACTTTTTTTTCCCCAGAGTTGGAGGAGATTGCTACATTTCTGCAGTGGTGAAGCAAAAGAAGAAACATCTTAGGCCAGAGAAGCAGAGCTCTGCTAGGAATGCCCCTAAGTGAGGGCTGAGCAAAGCTCAGCTGTAGAGGCTCTCCAGGAGAGGAGTAGGATTGCTATATTCTGCGGGGAGACCATCTGCCATCACACCAGGTATACCTTGACTTTCCTGAAGAGTCAGGATACCCTTCCCTGTTGAAGCAGTTCCAGGCCTGACTCTTCCGAGAAGTCAGAAAAAAATTTTCCTTTCAGGGTTGGGCTGCTTCTTTGCAGTTCCAGCTGTCACAGCTGTGCTAAACAGCTCCAGGTGTCCAGGACACCTTCTGGGCAGAACTGTTGTTCTGAGCAGCTTGAGGTGTCTGGGTTACATTGCCCTGCAGGGCTGAACTGTCTCCTTACAGTTCCAGCCATCAGAGCTGTCATCAGAGCTGTCCTAAGCAGCTCAAGGTGTTGCCTGACTCCCCAGGTAGTCAGGACACCTTTCCCCAGAGTTGTTGCAACCATTTTACCTACAATAGTAGTTAGTCATCTATAACAATCAAACCAGTCATGTTAGGTATGTTTTCAAGGTTAAACACAGATATATTTTATTTATTTATTTATTTATTTATTTATTTATTTATTTATTTATTTATTTATTTATTTATTGTGGTCTGATTGTTCTTTATTTTATATCTAGAATCCACCAATGAGTGAGTACATACCATAACTGT